TAGGAAAGATTCTGTGCAGGTTGTCGATTATTCTGTACCAGAACGAGAGAAGTTTGTAGTTTGTTTCTTGGTAGTAAGAGCTCGATGAGCATTTGTGGTGGAGGATTAGGATCTTTTCCCATTGAGCTGCGGTGAATGATTTATCCAGTATGCGTTTCCAGCGGCGGCGAAATATGTTGTTATTGGTTAAGTGTTTTGGTATATTAGGAATATTGTCCTGTCTAGGGTAGTCTTGTGGTCACAGAGTGTTTCAAAAAAATGAAAGGTCCCTGTGTAGGGCTTCTTTGTGTGGGAGTGTTTGGTAGTAGTATTTGTGTTGCGTGTAGCGGAAGGTTTGCAGGCCGGAGGGTTGGTTACCGGCTATCAGCTCCCTTATTGGGACCATGCCCATGTTATTCAGTATCCTATGGATGGGGAAGGATTACCCTGCACCCAGGAGAGTCCACGATGTTGGCGGCAGTCCCCCCCCGAACCGGGGATTATGTTGTATCTGGATCATTGGGCTTGGTGATGGGGAAAGTTGTGGGGATCGTCTGATGCTATCCCACGTTTTTAGTGTCTGTGCCACTGTGAAGGATGGGTCAAGTATTGCCTGTGGTGGCCTCCTTGAGTTCCAGAATGTCGGTTTTCGGTGATCCTTCAATATTGATAGTTATGGCTCGCTTCAGGTATGATGTGGACCTTTATCGACAAAAGGTCACTCCGAGTCATTCTAAGCTTAGTGTGTCTTTATGCAATCTATAGCTGTATACGGAGCAGATCCTTCCGTTCCCAAATTACTTATAAATACCGTTTTCCTTAACCATTCTAGATAACTTGACTATCACTAGAATAATCCAGTGTCTGAAGACCCAAAAGGCACTGTAATAATATTGTAATAAATGAAACAATGACTCAAATAAATATAAGATAAAAGTGTATTGAATGAATGTTACAGAATGCAAAAATAGTCAGTAAATAATTAATCTTACCAAATGTATTAGTGGCTACAGCATATGTCCCTGTATACCTTTCAGATGTGTGGTGACAGCAGGCAGAGTAAGAGTAGATGAATGAATGACTGAATGAATGAATGACAACGTCACACTCTCTCCTTCAGTGAAAGCCATTTTGTCCTCCATAAAGCAGCCCCCACCTGTGTAATACTCCCACAAAGGTTTTCTAACTTGTTGCATGATGTAATGTATTGAATATCTAAGTGTGGGATATACCCTAGATGGCTCTGCCTATAGTTAGCTTCAAAATTAAGTCAAGTGTTTTGTATACATTTGACTGACAATACATGTGTTTGTTCTAATTTAACTTCAACCTTTTAGCTGTTAACCTTGTGGAAATGTCATTGAAAATTTAACTTTTTCAAATCTAAGCAAAAAGGCCTGCAATATTTCATACACCTATTTTATACAGCTAAATGTGCATTTATATTAGATATATATATATGCACCATACCATATAATATATATAAATATATATATATATATATATATATATATATTGCAAACTACACATTAAATAATGATCAACACTCCACACTCCCCCACTTGTTTTTCTTCTATGACAAAACTAAAAAGAAAAAACAAGAGAAAAACAGAGAAAAATCAAAAACAAAACAACACTTGTGCCAAAGAGAAGAGAAGAGAAGAGAGGGAAAAAAAAATTTGAATACAGCAATAATGAAAGCAAAAAAAATAAAAAATCAAATACAACTGGTACCCCTCAGAAACACAGGAATAAGAAACATAACACAGAGTGACGTAGTAAACTGTGTTAAAGCTACATCAAAGTTCTTTAGATATCTTGATTGAAGAAGTCAAAAACCAGAATCAAATTCGGAATTCAAATAGAAGGAATATCAGCGACATAGCAAGAAACATAGTTCATGGAGAGTTAAGAATTAGAGTCCAGGCTGCAGGATGAAATAGAAATTAGCAGCATGAGAAACACTACAAGACAGTGACAATAGAACGGTCACAGCAACCAAACAGGAAGATTGAGAAGTAGGATTACCATGTTAGCTCCTCAATTGCTTAGGTATATGCAAAGTTTAGAAAAGTAGAAATAATATGCAAAGTCTTCATCCTAGTACCGATTGTACCCATAGACAGCATAGCAGTCAGTAGGAACTCTTCGTAGATATAGGAATTCTTCACAGCTAAGTGTAATAAAAGCAGCTGGATGTACGTTGACAGAGAAAGTCACTGGTAATAGAGTGTAGCTGGTAAACCTGTCATCAGAATGTACCACTTAGTATTTAGCTTAAAGAGACAGAAACGCCCAAGTGCTGTTTAAAAATAAAAGTAAGGAACCAGTTATGACATAGAAGAAAAGCAAAATGGAGATCTAAAAGAAAACAAAAATAATGTAAGAACATGGACACAGAATAAAATCCATAATTAATAAGGAGTGGGAAGCTGAGAAGGATCTAAAGATACAGAATAACCATTTAATGTATATAATGGGAGAAGGCGTTTATGCTTAGACTCTAAGTCTTCCAACAGTCACCTTTCTACACAGATTACGATGTAAATTTTTGAAATAACAACCACTAACACAGATGAATAAAAATAAAATCAATTGTAAGTGAGAAATAACTACAACTGGATGCAACATCACATTAAAAAAATGTGTAGCAGTATTACTGTATCCCAAAACAGATTCCCACCATGAGGTCTGGCCATCTTGCTTAACAGCAACAGAGACCTGTTTAAGAATCCCTTGTTTATGTGTGACAGTAATTTGATCTTGGTGCAAAACACTCTTTAATGAATTAAGCAATGTCGTAATTGATGTTGAGTCAGTTAACCATTTTTTCATCTCAGAACCCATACCTAGGTGCAAATCTGACATGGAAAAAAATCAACAATACTTTCCCATGATAAATCCAAACTTATGTTAGTAAGTTGAGGCATAGTGAAGTTCCATACTGAAGAAGCAATGTAAGACACAGGAATGGAATTACACCACGTGCCAGGCAATAAGTGAGTGCTGAGAAGAGATTCATCCAGTGTTTTCAAAATAATTTGATCAGGCTGAAATAAGTGAAAACAAACACGATCTAACCCCAAGTAGTAGACAGGATTTGTAACATTAAATTGACCATGAAAACTACATTCATCCTAATTAACCCAACATGTTTCAGTAGTAGTTTTATATTGGGATGGAGAACATATATAAGAATTAGCATTAGAGTGACACAAAGAAATGTCTACAAGGGTCCAGTTAGAACTATCCGTACCCTGGGCTACCCATTGATGTGAAAGTTCAGGCAATAATAATGACCCATTAGACGGTAGGCCAATTGTAGCTAAACGATAAATAATAGCATCTTTGCCTGCCCATGGTATTAATGTTTGAATGGCACATTTTTCAAGTGAGCAGTCAGAAGAACTTCCCACCACAAAAGATGAGTCATCGCAAAGTCAGTCACAGATTTTGAAGCAGCACGACTCAACGAAGCAGGCCATCTACCTGACCATAAACTTTGCAACTGAAGTGTAAGATTGGTAGACAGATCAGCCTGAACCTGTGAACATAGCATTGCCCATGCAGTATCACGAGTAAAATTGTAAACTGAGTCGACCAGAGTGTGAAACTTATCAGAAATAATCTCAGTTGTATCTACCATAACATGAGTTTGATGCTGTTGAAGCTTAACAATATTAGTATTAATATCATATTGGGTATCCAGACCCGTAGAAGTATGAGAGGCTAAAGAAGCAAGTTTATATCTTAGAATTTCCGAATTAATTTGTGCAGCTGATCCCACGACACTACCATATGTACCTAACGCAGTAGCTAAATAATCTCGTCTAGGGCGATGGTGTGATCGAAGTGATACATTATACAACATGCTTTCATAAAACCACCACTGAAAAGCTCTTTCCTGTACTGATATGAATAGCGTACAATTGGAATATTGTGTGGAAACCAACCATTTATTTAATTGTAAGTGCCAGGTAACCAAACAATATGAAACATCATATGCTACTTGTGTAGCAGAGTCCAAACGAACTTGAATAGGGTCACCTTCCTGAAATGGAGGTGTGGTAGATTCTGGTATAGGCGTAGAGGGAGATACAGAAGCTATAGGAGTAGAAGGCTGTGCCATTTCATCAATTCTAACTATAAACTGTGGAATACCATTGTCTGTACATTGCCATTCACCTACAGAATCAGATGGGTTGGAAGTATTAACCAAAATAGTTGCAGGCATCACAACAGAATTAGAGTCCTGGACTTCTAGACTTCCACAGGTATTAAGATTATCCAGGTTAGCCATAGGGCGACTGTTAGAATTATGAAAAATGCCAGAAGTAGCGGATTGCAAATCAATACTGCATATCAAACAAATATTCTTATCAAGATACAGAAGTGCACCATATTCTGGAATCAGAAGATGGGTTTTATTAAGAAGCCATAGCTGAGCATAGTCAAATTTTGGAACACTAGCAATAAAAAGTGCAACAAATACTGGGGATGCAGAACTATGAGAAATATGATATATGGGACGGTTAGATCTAACACTATTACACTGAAAGTTAGACAATAAGGAAAAGATAAGGTCAATGCTGGTAGTAGGGTGTGAGACTAAATATATAGGTTTAAAAGGAGCAAGCACTTCATAAGAAGTGACAAGACGCTTCTGCAGATTATGATTATCTGGATGCCAAATGTTAGTAAAGGTATAGAGCAAACAAATCACTGTAACGCATCCCACCAAACATGTCCAAGATGCCATAGTCTAATTTGTAGATTATGAAAACCAACAAAATAATTAGTTATGATCAAACTGTAAATTAATGGCACCAAACTTCAAATATAACATGTAAAAATGTGGATAAAGAGATTGTTACAAGACGTTACTATTTATTATTAGTAAATAACATACAAAGTGAAAGCATCACACTAAGAAAACATGCAATACGTGCAGAAAGTAGTCTAGCCAAAGCTAGTTTTGAACATCCGGAAGGACCTTCTTTTTTTTTTTTTTCAAATGAAGCTTAGATGTAAAGGCGCCGATCATTCATAGTGAAAAGTAGAGTCTGGAACAGCCGTTCTAGAGTCTCAATCTCTTTGTACACTTTCTGAAAAACAAAGTAAATATAGAATAACAAAGTAAATATAGAGCCCTTAAACAATTTAAGCTGCATTGCATGCTTGTAGACATTTAAACCATCTGATTTTTGAATAAGATAAACTGAGGGTCCCACTTTGTCCACAATAAGATATGGACCTTCCCAGCAATCTTTAGGAAATTTCCTAGGGTTTTTTTGTCCTTGTTTAAGCATGCACACAGAATCTCCCACTTGGTATTCAGTGAGGTCAGATTTTTTATCAAAATCACTTTTACTTTTTAAGGCGGACACCACATCTGTGTGCAGTGCCTGTCCTTGTACAGTGGTGAGCCATAGAGAATGTTCTTTGGCCCATTCTTCATTGCATAATGCTACAGAGGTAGATATATCCATATGAAGCAAAAGGCGTTCCCATGAAGGCATACTGCGACCAAAAAGTACTTCATAAGGAGACATCTGAATATGCCTGTTAACTCTAGATCTCATCCAAGCAAGAACAAAAGGCAGTAAAATATCCCAATTTTTACCATTGGCATTACAGATTTTGCTTAGTTCCTTTTTTATCTGGCCATTCATCCTTTCAACCATGCCTCCACTTTGAGGGTGATAAGCAATATGGAAATCCCAAGGGAGATCTAACCAACTTGTGATCTCTTTCAGGATGGTATTGACAAATTCACCGCCATTATCTGAATCCATTTGTTTTGGAATCCCAAAGTGACAGAAAACATTTTGCACTAGGATTTTGGCAGTTGCGCCAGCTGTTTTGTTAGGGGTAGCAAAAGCTTCAATCCATCGACTAAAAGAGTCAACGACTACCAATATGTAGCGATTTTTACAGGCTGTCAATGGCCGTGTACCTACATAGTCAACCTGTAGTCTGTCCCAAGGTCCAGTAGGAGCATATCGCATTAGTGCTCCACGTGTTAGTTGTCTTGCTGGATCTTGGTGTGCACAAACAATACATCTGTCAATGTGATCTTGGATATCTCTTCTCATAGTAGGCCACCATCCCAGTTTAGACATCCTATCCATACATTCTTGTAATTTGGGATGTCCCCCTGCAATGGAACCATGTACCCAAGCCAGCAAACATTTTACCAAATGAGAGGGAATAACCCAGGCAGGACCATGTTCAGTGTATTTGACTAAAATGTCATGCAGAATTTTCAGTGTTTCTTTACCTAACTTATATGCCAGGTCATCAAAAAGAGGAGCGAGTACCAAATCGTACTCCTGATGTTCTCGAAGTACAGACCATTGTGTGCCATCATCGTCAGGGGCATACAACTGCACTGGTGCAAGTGGTGTATGATACAATACATCTTCCTCTTCCCATAGTGGAATATCAGGAAGACATGCAGCCTCTTTTGCAAATTTATCAGCAAGACTATTACCGTATGCCAAAGGTCCCTTAGATCTGTGTGCTTTTACCTTGACGAGTTTGATAAAGCCTACATGATCTTTTGACAAATCCTGTATGCGTTCCCATAAGCCTTTGTGCTGTACTATACTGCCATCAGTGGACTGCCATTTATTGTTGACCCAAAACGTAAGAAGAATCAAAGCTCCTCTGAAAACATACATAGAGTCAGTGACTACAAAGTGTGTACCACCTTTCCCAATTTTGTCTCGGATCAAAGTTAGTAGTGCAGCTAATTCAGCAAACTGTGCTCCTGCATTTTTACAAGCATACTGAAACCAATCAAGAATCGTTCTACCTTCAAGAAGTACACCTGCAAAACCTGTCATGCGCTTACCATCGATGACTGATGAACTAGCATCAATGTACCAAACAGGGTTATTTCCCACATCAGCAGGGCTGCCCTCTTTGAAAACAGAATGTGCTTTAGGAGCAATCATATGATGACATACATGATCCTGACCTTGAATAAGAACACCCAACACATGTATAGAGGGTTCCTTTAACGGTTCCACTGTAATGTGTTCAGTGAGCAGCGTAGTCATCCATCTCACCACACGTTCATTACGAATGTCACTTAAAGCCAAATTATGTTTTTTCAGCAAAAGCAGGAGATTATGATGTGAACGAATCACAATGTGCTGACCGCTGAGAAGATCTCTCAGTCTTTGTATGGTCCAGTATGTAGCTAGGGCAATTTTTTCACAAGGACCAAATTTCAATTCAGGTGATGTCATTTTGCGACTTAAGTATGCAATAGGCGCTAGTATATCACCATGGTATTGGGCCACTACTGCACCAAGTGTTGTATCAGACACACAAGAGTATAAATAAAATGGTTTGTCTGATGCTGGAGTGCCCAAAACGGGTGCACTAGCTAATGCAGATTTGAGGGAGGAAAATGTCTGTGTGTGTGAATCATTCCATTCAAATTTGTTTTGTTTCAGTAGGTCATATAATGGTTCTGCAAGCAAAGCATAATTAGCAACACATTCTCTGCAAAATCTTGTAAGCCCAAGAAACTGCTGTAAAGATTTCACATCTACAGGTCTTGGTAGGTAAAGAATATGTTTAACCCTATCCTCAAGAATACTTCTGCCTGTTGGACCAAGTTCCAATCCGAGGTAGTTAACCTTCTGTTAGACCAACTGACACTTGTCAGGGTAAAGTTTCAAGCCATGCTTTTTAAGGGATTCCAAAACCTTTTTTAACAGTTTAATGTTACTCTCTCTGGAATCATTTGCTATTAACAAGTCATCAACATACTGAACAATTTTGTTATGCAAATTATGAGACTTTAGAGCTTGTGCTAACATGCTGTGAAAAATTGCAGGGCTATCACAGTAACCTTGAGGAAGAACTGTCCAGCAATACTGTTTAGACTGAAAAGAAAATGCAGTACGATACTGAGTTTCAGGAGTGACTTGTACACTATAAAACCCATTTGCAAGATCTAACACTGTGTAATACTGCATTTCAGGAGTTAATTTAGCAATCGGTTCAGGGTAAGAGGCCACAACAGGTGCTGTTCTAAAAACTGTCTCATTTAGTCGTCTGTAGTCAATGGTTAAACACCAAGTGATGTCTTTTTTACGAATAGGCCACACAGGACTCGAACCTCCAGTTTGGCATGGTCGAATTAACCCACGCTGTAGCAATTGGTCAATGATAACTTCTAAATCCTTTTCTGCCTCACGTGGAATTGGATACTGTTTAACATATGGGTGGTGTGAACCATCCAAAGAAACCATTAATTGTGATTTACCACAATCTAGACTATCTTTGGCCCATACATCGGCATATTCATGCCACCAAGATTCTGTATCCACAGGAGGGTGTTTGATTTTAATACCCTCATGTGGATAGACAACATGCACAGGAGGCAAATTGGAGCCTAAACCGATCCGAGTATGCTCAGAAGGGCTAGTACTCCCCTCAATATTCCAAAGCATGTGATTCATTAAATCAATGATAAACCCAAACTTTACAATATCTGGAGCTCCCAACAGAGATAACGCATCTTTTTCCAAAAACATATCAGAACGTATAGTCTTAGAGCCAATCTTCAATGTCCTAGGTTCAACATACACTGTTTTTGGCATGCCAGTAACCCCCACAATGCAAGCAGTAGTAAATTTGCCAGTTTTTGGTGTACCAGATATTAGTGTAGCAGCTGCCCCTGTATCGATTAGAGTGTTAATTTTCTCCCCATCTACCAACATAGTACACATTGGTCGTACCCATTTATCTAGATCCAGAGGCCAGTCGAGACAAAGAGGAGAGGAGAAAACACATTCCTAGCAGGAGGAGAGGGGTGGAAGGGAAGTTGTTAGAGTTGCAACAGGCGTTAAATTAGCTTGCTCTACTTGTTTTCTAAGTAGCTCAACAGAATGTTGTAACGCTTTCTGAGATGCAATAATATCCCTCAAGGGAATCCACTCACCATCTTTTCCTATGCCACGTCTTGTAGTATTAAATCTACCTCTAAAACCACCACGTCCACGGTACTGTGGACCTTCTGTCTGCCAAGTATTAGAGGCATTATTTAATTGCTGTCCATCTCTCCAAGATCTTTGAGCCTGATATGTTATTTCAGAAATCGGAGAGGGTTTAGAATATCTATCCATTTCAACTTGCAAACGGTCAAGCCATGAATTAAAGTCAACATTCCTCAGGTCACCGTAACAGATGGTCATAACATGAGAAATGTTACTTGGTACAAGAGTGAAAATTAACTCCCGCACTGCTGGATCCAATTTAAGGTCAGCTTGTATTTCAGAACGTTTTTCTGAAGAAGTAGCCCCATTAGTAAGAGCAGCAAGGAAAACAATTACTCTGTTAGCAGTTTCTGTGATAGACTCATTAGGAAGTGAGATAAAAGCTTTGTTAATCTGGAACGGACTAGACAAATGAAATAGTTTATGGCAACACCGTTCTAACAGCTGAGAAAAAGTTTGTGCAAAACCTTCTATGACAGCTGAACAGGATCCCAGACCTTTCAGAAAAATCTCTATTAGTTGTGAATCCGAAGAACCCCAGCGAAGGAGTTTTCCGATCCAATGTGTGAATCTATTGAAATCCTCAATAGTACCCTTATTTACAGGAGCTTGCCCTATTTCAGATAAGACAGCCCTGGCTTCTGTCGCTTTCACAGAAGAAGGTGCTGTCATGTGTACATTAACAGGATCAGAAATAACAATATGTCGTTTAGTTTTAGCCTCTTTAAGGTCACTTTGCAGTTGTTTGTTAGCAGTCTTAAGGTCTTGTGTAGTATCATGCAATATGCTAGTAGTCTTTTCCTGTTTTTTAGTAGTAGCCTTAAGTTTGTCATTTACCCGTTGTAACTCGTCATTGTCAAGCCTAAAACGTTCAAGGTTAGTTTTAGTCTCAGTTAATAGTCGTGCAGCCTCAGACAACTCTGCTTCTAAGTCTCGTCTCTGCTGGTGTTCTTGTGAAAATGATTGTTTTACATTATGTAAAGTCATTTCCATATCATTATATTCTTTTTCTATTCTAGCATGATGTGCAGAAATTTCCTTCAATTTGTCATCTGATAACACTTTGTTAGCCTCTAATTGAGGACCACGTGTTATAGGATTACAAGGAACAAGATTAGTTTTAGAAAATTCAATTGGCAATTCTGGATACAAATGTGTATACGTGGGAGGAGCAGAGGGGACAGAAATTGTTTGTGAAGGAAACTCAATATTTTCATTTTTATGCTCCATCCACATAGCAATGTCGTCTTCATTAATTAAAGCAGAAGGAAGATCGACTGACAAGGTGGCAATCTGATACCATTTGTTTTCATGAGCAACAGGGGATTTTTTAAATATAGCACTTCCCCGAGCCTTACCTCCTAGTTTTAAAGAAGGACAGTGCTTAGTACGCAGGCATTGTAAGGTGTCTACAGCTTGATCAAGGATTATATTTTTGGATTCTAAATTATGAACTTTATCTTGTAAGAATCCAGCAGTGTGAGCTGCATTTTGTGCCTGGGTGCGGGAATCTTCTAATTGTACATGCAGCGTATCAATAAGAGAAGCTTGCAGATTAAAACTAACTTGCAACTGTTCAATCATTTGGAGGGACATCATTAGCATATCTAGTAAAGCTTGCAAACTTCTACCCTTTTTTACTTTGTCATCTTTAAGCTGCATTATTGAGGGTAATACTTGAAAAATGTCCTCTAGAAACAGTGCATCACTTATATTTTCGCCCAACTTAAATGGACCTCCATATTTTTTAATCCAACATTTTATATATTCTTGAAACACAGAAGGGAAAGAAAACAAAACAGGGGAATTAACGGATCTCTGTTCAGTATTTAAATCAATAGGGTCACATGATCTAGATTCAAGATTACCTATCCTATTTGGAAACTTAAAGAAAGACATACTTACAAATCGAGGATCCTTCCAACAACTGAGTACACCGTGTTCTCCACTGCAAAAGACACGACTAAACCACCCAAGGACGAGGCCCCCAGAATGTCGGTTTTCGGTGATCCTTCAATATTGATAGTTATGGCTCGCTTCAGGTATGATGTGGACCTTCACCGACAAAAGGTCACTCCGGGTCATTCTAAGCTTAGTGTGTCTTTATGCAATCTATAGCTGTATACGGAGCAGACCCTTCCGTTCCCAAATTACTTATAAATACTGTTTTCCTTAACCATTCTAGATGATAACTTGACTATCACTAAAATAATCCAGTGTCTGAAGACCCAAAAGGCACTGTAATAATATTGTAATAAATGAAACAATGACTCAAATAAATATAAGATAAAAGTGTATTGAATGAATGTAACAGAATGCAAAATAGTCAGTAAATAATTAATCTTACCAAATGTATTAGTGGCTACAGCATATGTCCCTGTATACCTTTCAGATGTGTGGTGACAGCAGGCAGAGTAAGAGTAGATGGATGAATGAATGAATGGTGAATGAATGACAACGTCACACTCTTTCTCCTTCAGTTAAATAGCCATTTTGTCCTCCATAAAGCAGCCCCCACCTGTGTAATACTCCCAAAAAGGTATTCTAACTTGTTGCAAGATGTAATGTATTGAATATCTAAGTTTGGGATATACCCTAGATGGCTCTGCCATCTAATTAAGTGAAGTGTTTTGTATACATTTGACTGACAACACATGTGTTTGTTCTAATTTAACTTCAACCTTTTAGCTGTTAACCTTGTGGAAATGTCATTGAAAATTTAACTTTTTCAAATCTAAGCAAAAAGGCCTGCAATATTTCATACACCTATGTTATACAGCTAAATGTACATTCATATTAGATATATATATATGCACCCAGGGCCGGCCTTAGGGGTGTGCGAGCTGTGCGACCGCACAGGGCGCCATGGAACAGGGGGCGCCCTGTGGCCGACACAGCTCACTCATGGCCGGAGTGCAGGGGAGCTAAAAAAGGGACCTGGCTGGAGGATTAATTATTCTCCACCTGGGTCTATTTAAAAAAAAAAAAAAAAATCGCGGCAGAGGGGGCGGGGTTTACCGAGCGGCGGAGGCGGGGCTTATCGAGAGGCGGAGACGGGGCTAATACCTCCCGAAGCCCCCGCTGTACAGGAAGAGGGAAAGATGCTTCCCCATCAGCCAACTGCATCCACTGGAAAGAGGTAAGTGTGTGTGTGTGACTGTTTGCCTGTTTGTGTGACTGTCTGTGTGTGTGTGACTGTTTGCCTGTTTGTGTGACTGTCTGTGTGTGTGTGTGACTGTCTGTGTGACTGCCTGCCTGTGTGCGTGTGACTGTCTGTGTGTGTGTGTGTGTGTGTGACTGTCTGTGTGACTGCCTGTCCTTGTGTGTGTGTGTGTGACTGTCTGTCTCTGTGTGTGTGTGTGACTGTCTCTGTGTGTGACTGCCTGCCTGTGTGTGACTGTCTGTGTGTGTGACTGTCTGTCTGTGTGACTGCCCATGTATGTGACTGCCTGTGTGTGTGTGTGACTGTCTGTCTGTGTGACTGTCTGTCTGTGTGACTGCCCGTGTGTGTGACTGCCCGTGTGTGTGACTGCCCGTGTGTGTGACTGCCTGTGTGTGTGAGACTGTCTGTCTGTGTGACTGTCTGTGTGTGTGACTGCCTGTGTGTGTGACTGCCTGTATGTGACTGCCTGCCTGCCTGTGTGTGTCTGTCTGTAACTATCTGTCTGTGTGTGACTGCCTGCCTGTGTGTGTGACTTTCTATCTGTGTGACTGCCTGCCTGTGTGTGTGACTTTCTATCTGTGTGACTGCCTGCCTGTGTGTGTATAACTGTCTATGTGTGTGTTACTGTGTGTCTGTGTGTGTGTGTGTGACTGCCTATGTGACTGTCTGTCTGTGTGTGTCGCTGTAGCTGTGCCATTGTTTGTGCCTGTGCCTGTATGTGTGACTGCCTTTAACTGAGTGTGTGTGTACATGCCTGTAACCGAGTTTAAATTTCCCCCACCCCTTCCTGTCAAGGCCGCACTTTGACTGACAGACGCTCACTCACCGACAGACGCACACTCACTGACAGACACACACTCTCATATACACTGACAAACAATGACATACACACATACACTATTACTTGGACACACACTGACAGATGCACACTCTCACTGACAGACGCAAGCACTCACTGAAAGACGCACGACTCCACTGACCGACACATACACACTGACTGACACACACTCACTGACCGACACACACTCACTGACCGACACATACACACTCACTGACCTACACACTCACTGACCGACACATACACACTCACTGACGACACATACACACTCCCTGACTGACACATACACACTCACTGACTGACACATACACTCACTGACCAACACACACATTCACTCACAGACACACACAATTACACACTTACAGACACACACACACACACACACACACACACATTCACTTCAAAATAAACACTCACAGACACACACACAGACATTTCCACTAACACTCACAAACTAATATTTTTTACATTTATTTTAAATCCACCCAGCCTCCCTGGGAAAGCTGGAGTGGATTTCTTACCAGCAGTCCAGTGTGGCTGCTGGGCAGGCAGGCAGGGGGCGCACAGGCTGAGTAAGCAGCGCTTAGTGATGCCGGGAGCCGGACTGACGTCATATTCTGGCTCCCGGCTTCATTAAGCGGCGCAGAGAAAGCTGAGCAGGAAGAGCTCAGGTGAGTATGCTCCTTCGCTGCCCGCTGCCAGCCTTGGGGGGGCTCAAAAGTGGCCAGCCGGTCAGCTCTTGAGCCCCCCAGGATGCGAGGCAAGCAAGGGATCTGCCTGGGGGTTTGGAGGAATGCTTTTTTTTGCCGCCCCCTGCAAAGTGGCGCCCAAGGCAGATGCCTTGTTTGCTTCGTGATACACACGTCCCCGGTGCCTGTGTGTGTTACTGTATTCAGGCAACTTGGTGGGAGGTGGGGGGGGCGCCGTGAAGACTTTTTGCACAGGGCGCCTAATTGCCTAAGGCCGGCCCTGTATGCACCATACCATATAATACATACATATATTGCAAACTACACATTAAATAATGATCAACACTCCACAAGACATCCTTACTGTAATCTGCTACCAAGTCTTAAAGGGGTATTGTTCCTAAAAGTCATAATATGTCCCCGGATGGCCCTTAAAGGGCCAGTAGCAGCAATATAAAATATCACATGCCCAAATATTGCATTAAAAGTACAAATTTACCAGGGGCCATAGTCAGCAGGTACGAGGCAGGCAGCCAGGCCTCTCCAAGGTCCAGTGGCGAGGCGGATTCCGCCACAGGGTGCTTCTCTGTATTATGTGTATTTTCGGGGGGGGTTGTGTTCGACTTTCTGTGTCTGGGAGATAATTAGTTTAACCAACAGTTGATAATGATCTCCTAAACACAAAGATGCGTAGGCTGGCTTATGTTACTTTGATTGGAGACCCCTGCTGGGGGTCTGTGTATAAATTCAGTGTACCTTGCCTTAATAAAACAATTCTTCTTCACCCATCACTACGTCTCGACTAGTGTTTGGGTAAGATAGTGGTATCCTTAGCAGGAGGGTATTATCACTCTGAAGCTATTCACAACTGGGAAGGGACTACCTATGCCGAAAGAAACCCACCTTCTCGAGGGTATACTGTCACAACCGCCACACAATCCGAGACAGTTACCCTTGGGAACAGCCCGTTCAATTTGTCCACTATTTGGCACTATCCTCCTGATTTAGACACCGAATGTCTGGATACTTTGTTTAACCATTCACATTGTTGTATATGTGTATACTTTATTTGTTGTTTTTGACACTATGACCATAGAAACATAGAATGTGGCGGCAGATAATGAACCATTCATCCAATTTTCTAAATACTTTCATTAGTCACTTGCCTTATCTTATAACTAGGATAGCTTTATGCCTTTCCCACGCATGCTTAAACTCCTTTACTGTGTTAACCTCTACCACTTCAGCTGGAAGGCTGTTATATGCATCCACTACCCTCTCAGTAATGTTATACTTGCTGATATTATTTTTAAACCTTTGCCCCTCTAATGTAAAACTTTATTTATGTGAAGGACCGCCTGGCACCCCAACTGGGTTCCTCCGCCAATCGTTGCTTCCTAGTAGCCTGGAGTACTATAAGCACTGCACCAGACACCATAAGCACCGTAGCCCCTTAGCAGCCGTAGCTTGGCTGGGGTCTCGCTCTAATCCACCCACCCTGGACCCAAGCCCAGGATCCAGCTTCCAGTGGGTGGACCTCATGGGCGTAGGAACCGGGGAGGATGGGGGGACGCATCCCCCCCAGCAAATCATGCGGGAGGGACAGGGGGGAACAGGGTATAGAGAAATCCCCCCCCCCCGCTCCGCCGGCCGCTGGTGGCTCCATCAGGGAACCGCACGCACTGCAGACTGGGAAGGGGAGTACCTCCCCTTCCGCACAGGAGCGCCGGGTGTCACGTGACGTACAGAGGTCCCCCTGCTATGTCAGGTAAAAGGGGGGGACAACAGTTTGTAGGGGGGAGACCAGAGCCGGTCACCTCTGAAAAGAAAAAAAAACAGCTGCCTGAGCATTTTTAGTGTTAATTAATGGAAGGGTTAAAGAAGGGGTGAGGGGGGAGGAAGAAAAATTTATGTA